GTTGCAACTGCACGGCGATAGAAACGTGTGCGATAAAACAGCATTCTGTACCATCAGGGAAGTGCCGGCTAGGAAATCCAGGGGCTCAATCTCTTAGTAGGGAGGGCGGCCGCTAAGAAATGGAGACCCTGAATTTCTTAGCAAAGGAGTCTCCCTGCTAAGAAATTCAGGGTCTCAATTTCTGCCCGTGGATTTCTTAGTGTGGTGGTCAAAAATGCTTTCGGGAGCTTTACACTTTACACCAATCAATTGTTTGCTGGAGGATACGGCCGAGTCAACTGCGTGTCGAACAGGAGGCACTTCCGCGGTAAGTTCAGGTGTGTCGGAGGAAACCGGCCACACAGACACACACACACGCGCTTGGCAATCCACCACCTTCCAAGCAACATCCACTTGAATACAGCTCTTTGCTACAGAAGCGACTTTGCGCAACCTTGTTCTTACCAAGCCACACCCTAAGACAGGAACTGGCGGCAAATGCGACAACACTGCATCAGTGTAGGACACTGAAAGGAATGTACCACATTGAATAATCTATCCCGCTGAACGGAGACCTGGTGAAGACCCACATTCAACCGATGAAGCAGGCAGCCCCCTCGAAATCGCTGGCATGTGAGCACAACACTTTGTTTGTAGCCACCACTAAAAACGAAGAGTGCCAAACAACTAAACGGCTAAACCACATGCCAACAACAGTGAAGGTCATCAATGTGTCCCTTTCATTTCGCACAGCCCCCTACCCTTTACAAACATAACCCATCGTGTGGAACAGAGTCGGAGTGGATAAAAGGCTCGCCAGCCCGCGCGCGCTGCTTTTCTCCTCGCGCCCAGGGAAGACTTGCTCGCTCGCTCTGATCGCTTCTCTCGACCGGAAAAAGCGACTCCGGCAGGCCCAGTTTCGCCGGGAAGACTTCACGACTTCACCCGCGCGGCGTTTTCCAAACACAGGGCAACTCCGAAATGGTCATCCCTTAGGCTCCCCTCTTGGAACAAAAAGGCAATACCTACCAACTACCAACTCCCCAACTACCAACTACCAACTACCAACTCCCCTTTATGTAACCACCTACCAACTCCCCAATACCACGTACCCAAATGCCAGATGCAGACATCACTCAAACGGGACATCTCTTCATAGCTCGGGCGAACTGGGCGCTCTCTCCTGATCCATATCCGGCTGTCCGATCCGATTTTATTCTCCGATCTGTAAGACGACCAAGTGACCTTCATGGGCATTACGAACTAAGGAACTAACCTAGGTGAATCCATGTAAGGAAAACTGTGGCAACTGGGTTACACCTCCCTGGCTGGAGCCACTCGAAGTCCGATCAGGGCTCCATGGCAGAGGCCTCCTTCTTGCCTCAGTCGAACATGGATGAGGCCTGGACTGTGTTCCTTGGATCGGGACCCAACAGAGGGTTCCATGTTGGTGGAGTATCAAAGCCCTTTGATCACCTCAGAAAGCTTGCTTTACATTGGACATGGTGCGCTATTGTTCATGCCCCCCGCTCCGCAACTCGAGAACATGCTCAAAGTTGTGGGGGCAATCTGGAAACCTGGAGGCAGGCCATCTCACTTGTGTGCCCGGCGCCCGGTGGCCAAAAAACCCATACCTCCAGTGGAGGCAAAAGGGGTGCTACAGGGAAGCCCCCCAAAAAGAAAGGACAGTAAACGCAGGTCCGGCTAAGGAGTAAGTCCAAGGTGCGTTTTCCGAACATGCTGATTTTAACCATACGACCATACATCCAAAACGAGGGGATCCAGAAACACATCCATCTGGCTCTGTCTTTAAGGTTGGACCCCCCAAAATGGATTTCGGGTTTCCTTTCTGGCTTTGCCCTTAAACACGTCAACAAAACACGGGCAACGGCGGGTACCAACATCCCTCCCCCAAACCCCGCTGCTGGCCAGGTGACCGGTGCCCATCATGGCGCAGAACTTCTCCTCGAAGTCATTCAGGGTCCTGTCCGCCTGGCCGACTTTTTCTCTCTAGGTCCTCCAGATTTGAGAGGTTAGAAGAAGTTGGTACCCGAGAATTTTGTTTTCAGGACGTCTATTTTAGGGGGGGAACCCTCCCCCATTCTAGGGGACCAAAACAGAAACGGTAAAAGGGCACTACTGGGCAACCTAGTCTCCCTTTGAAATCTCGATGCCAAAGGCCAAAAACAAACAACTCACCCGGATTTTTTGGGAAGAGTGGTGTATGGGGACCCCCAAAATGGTTGCTTTGCCTCTTGGCCTCCCTTCACAAACCATGCCTAGAAAGCCAAGGGGTTCGCTCAACGGTCATTCTCAATGGATGCCCAGCGGAAAGAAAGACTCGTTGACTCCTTGAAGGCAACTCAAACACTTCGGAGATGGCTCGTTTCCCCAAGGTGGGAAGGGGATGACGGAACGGGGGAGTTGCGGTTCATCTTTCCCCCAACAACCTTGCCGCGCTCGTTCTCCCTCGGTCTAGCTCCAAAATGGTACCAAGTGTCATCGATTTATCGGAAGCCCCACTCCGTTGCGAGCTTCGACCATCCCGTGCCTGCCACTCTGTCAGGATAAGCATGATCGTGCGCATGACCTGCATGGGCGGACAGTGACAAACACATCATGCCCCTTTTGGTTCAAGTCCTCTTGGGGATCTTGTCAACTTGCCCACACCCCAGGGCCAACAAACTCTTATGCGATGTGCACACGATTCATGGAAAGTCACATCTCCAACTGGGGGATCCTTTCCTCAAACACTTTGTCATTTGACAGCGGATTGAAACCGGCTTTGGTGTTCGGCAAACCACCCAAGCCAGTAAAAAATCACTAAGATTACCATCAGCCAATTTGCACTGGTCTGCCTGTCGCTGCCTCTGATGACCGTTTCTGGTCTTACTGCGGATTGTGCACATGTCAACATGTATGTACATGCGTATATATGTATATGTATGTACAATATGATATTTGTTTAATACATTTCTATATGTTGTGAGCACACACAGAGCTATTTTCTGCATGGTTGAATGGTCGAGTGTTCCCACCTCGTTCTCCAACGCCTACGTTTAAACCTGAACATGTTAATCACCCATATGTCATGGCCCTGCCTCGGTTTGAACCTAGTTCAGTATATCGCCAAAAAACATCGTTCCGCCCGGCCTTTACCGTCTTCGCAAATAAAGGTAGTCGCTCACATATTCATCATGGCTTTCATTTTGCCACACGTTTTCTCCTGGTGCCACTTCCCCCCCATTCGCGCTTCGGCTGCCCATCGATGGGTTGGGCGTGGGTGTTCCCTTTTGATTTCCCTTCCAAAAACCTCCGAGTGGTACCCGGAGAACAAAAAACACCCAAATGAAGCTGTTTTGAAGTCCCTTGAACCAACAGTTCTTTTGGGTACCCTCAAAACATAGGTGCGAATTTCGTTGGACCCAGACAAATTTACAAGTTCCCGACATGAGACCATATACCAGTAACTTTGTCAGTTGCTCACATCAGGGTTGATGTCCGACCGCTTTTGAGGGGTTATCCAGCCGTTCACGGTGCGGCTCTTCTAAACCTCTCTCACAGGCTTCCCATGTGACTGTCTCTTTTTGTGGTGATCGTTCAACGGTAGCTTCCTTTAAAAGCACGGAAAGGGGGTATCAACCCCAAAGAAACCACACTCATGGGCCCTCGAAGCGGCCTTTGAATGAATCCACCTGGTGCGGCTGCTTTCCCCAACGGTAAAGGATTGCCTCTTCAAAGTTGGGACGTCCTACCTTGTCGTTGGGTTGTTTTAAAAAAGACAGTAGCTTTACCTTTAAATTGGGACTCATTGCCCTTGAAATTGCTTTTTTTTTCAAAGTAGCTTGTTGTTGGACCCAGCTGCACCGCCTTTTCAAGCGGCAAAAAAAGCCGCTTGAAAAGGCCCCTGATGTTGACCATCCCTGGGTGCGTCTTTCTTCTGGGACCAAACCGCCTGGAGGTACAGCCGCAGCGTGCTCTTGCCGTTGATGTTCTCGCTAACCCGGGGATCATAGCCTATGATCCGAAGAGTCGGTGCTCGATCTTAGGCGAAGGGTATCCGAATGCTGGTTGGCGTTGCTTCATGAATACTAAATACCCTTTTTGGAGTCTAATGAACACCTTGAGGCACAAAAAATGGGAGGGGGGAGAGAGGCCTCACAGGACAAACCCATTGGAGTGACTGACACAATGAGGATCTTGATCGTAGGAGAACACGGGGGAACAATCCAAATGCCCCCAAAAATCACGGGCAACCCAATTTTGGATGTCTGGGGAAACATTGGTACTTTCGTCCGGGCGCATGTGGCAAGCAAAAAGCCGGCTTGACTTCAAAGCAAAGAGCCAAGCAAAGTTTGACAGCGATGATCGATTCCGCACCTTCGTTGCCTGAGCTTCAAAAAGGCCCGGCAGTGGCACACTGTTTCAAGTGCGAGCGACGGGCGGAAGGTCTTCCTCCCAATGTGCCAACACGATTTGGGCCCTGCACGCAAAATGAGTTGCCGCCCATTGGGAGGCGTCCAACTTTCATCAGCGAGCTGCAGCCCTAAAAGGGCGCAAGCACCTCCACTCCAGCGATTTCACGGCACAAACTTCAAGTGCTTTCGAGGCCCGTCCCAGGTGCCCACTTCCCGCGCTGTTTACCAGAAAGCCAGATCAAAGCAATAGCCCTTTTCCCAGCTCGTGTTGCGACGATCAAACTGCGCTTGGCAGCGTTGAACATCTCAAATGCCTTTTGAGGCAGCAGAATTGGGACCCCAGACTGGCAAAATCAAAAATTTGCGCCAGGCTTTGAAGACCCAACGGGAACACAAAAGTGCGGAACAGTTCTCAATAAGTGTTGAGAGAATCGATCAGCGGATCAAACTCGTCACAGCAGCATTGGCTGCAATGGGCCATCATCGCGACACTCGGAAGGGCTCTCTTGACAGTTTCAAAAAAAAACAAAGGAAACCAATTCAGCCAGGAGACTGGCCTCCCTTCTGAACGAATGCTGCAGCTCGCAGTTTCTGCTGTCACCACTAGTCGCTTGCAGCAAATGCCTTACATCTGTCGTATTGATTCAGAAACCAAAGGCTGCGGCCAATGTGCCGATCGTTATCAGGGGTTCGCCATTCATTGCTCAGCCCTTGCAGCTTCTTGAACTTGCGCTCACACGCCTGCAGCTTGGAGCTGTAGCAGTCTTCCTCATACCCGGGCTCGCCGAATCGGGGCATCCAGCCCATGGCCTCGCGAATGCCATCCTGAAGAACTCGAGCGAAAGGCACCCAACCTCAGCTGCCAAAGCTGCAAGGCAAAAGCTTCCTCCAAGAACTAACTTGGAACCGACCACACCCCTCAGCTTCTTTCCTCCCTTTCGTTGGAGGGTTCAATGCGAAACACCGAAAGGCTGGATTTGTGCGAATGAGCAGCGTAGGAAGGTGGGCATGCTGGGATAGACCCATGTGTACTGGCCAAAGTGCCGGATGAATTCCAGCGCAGGTTGTGCAAGAAGGCTGGCTTTGACATCAGACCAGCGGCAGCTGTTCATGAAGACCAATCCCGTCTCCGGGTCCGGGAGATGCTTCACTTTGTGCCAGAACCATCCCGGGTTCACATAGACATCCCCGGCATTCAGCACCACTTCACGGACCGGCAGCCGATCCCAAGTGCTCTTGAGCTTCAATGAGTTGAACCCGGTCCCGAAGGGATCAATCACCATTCCTTTCCAACCCGTTGGCAAACCCGCTGTTCTCGGCAGACCCCCCCAAAAATGACGAGAACCAACAACGCAAAACCTCCCACAACATGCTAAGAACGCTAAGACACTATGCCGAAACTCAAGACTTGCCAAGCACTGTGAAGATTCGGACGCCCAAGAAGACCGAGTACTTGCCATCCAGGACGTCCCAAATCTTGGTGCCTTTGTACATGCCCACTAAGTTCACGTGGTTGGCGTTGTGCCACACTAGGCCCTTTCCACCTGCGCTCAAGATTTCCGGCTTGGCCTCTGTGGATATGCGTCAACTGGATGAAATTTGGCCCCATTCCCTCAACGTATAGTCAGTAAGAGACATAGCCATGGCTACAACTGTCCCTGACATCCCTGACATCCGGTTGGGAATTCAGAGGAAACTTGGAAATGCAACCTCACCTCCGTTGACGAACAGTGCCAATGCCCGGCAGCCCTGGGGCACCCCGATGCGCTCCAAGCCCATGTCCTCCGCGATGTCCGGGTAACGCGTCACCATCTCATCCAAGCCGTTCGTGTAGCGATAAATACCTGGGGGTTCACAGCTCTGGCAAAAAAGACCAAAATACTTGTCCCTTTTGCTATTTGGCAGCCAGATACCCTGCCGGATGGAGTCCACGTATTCGGAAAACTTCACAGCACGGTAGTCGTATTCGTATTTGTAGTTA